TAATATCGGAAAATATATAATCATGTAATAAATTTTTATTACGATGAAGCTTGACTCATATTTTAAACTGTGTCTCGAATAAAAAGGCTATGTAAATAAATATATAATACACATAACTATAAATGTTACAACAATATACAAATAATTTTAAAAAATATTATACATGTATAAATCAGCAGCAGAAACAAATTCGTTTATTTTTGTGGTTAACAATAAGTGAATTGAAAATAAATACAAATGTTTAAGTTTAAAAAATAATATTGTTACACGCGTATTAAAATTCTTAAGATAATATATAAAAAAATTTTGATATATAATCAGTTCGAAAAGGCTTCATTTTAAATTAGTTTCAAAATTATGCTGAATTTTATTCAGAATTAACGTCTACTCGTTTTTAAAATCTGGTTTGTTGCATGAAGCAATAATATATGTAGGATCTGTATGTATGTAATGTGTGTCATGCAGATACATCTGTATGTGTTCTACAGCATTACGAAGAATAATCAATTCATTTATTTATAAGTGAGATGAGCAAGCAAGAAGTTGTGAATTCGACTTGCACAATGTTAATTTATTTCATCAAGATCTTGATCTCTTTCAAACTGATAGAATCCAATATTATTTGCATAAAATCAGTTTAATAGTAACAACATATCAGTGATATCAGTGATAATTGTGAGAATTAATCGTTTTATGATAATCAGAAATAAAATTTTAATTATAAATACTAAATAAAAAGAACATTAAGAAAAATTTATGCAGCTATTCTCAGGGAAAAATGTACATTAATGCACGTAAATGTTAAAAATATAAGAACTGTACAAAATTTATGTATTATTTTTTAAATTATTATATATATTTATAATATTATTTTAATATTATTTTTATATATTATATTTAATGTTATTTTTATAAATGTATCAAAAAATTTTTATATAATAAATAAAAATAATATTTCCTTGAAAATTTATCTTTATTTTATAATAATAAAGATTTGTAATAATATGCGTCAAAAAATACAATATTTATTTCAAAAAAATAGAAAAAAGATCAAATTTAATGCTATGAAAATGAAATCATATTTGATAGTTAGATAGATATAATATTTGGATAGTTATAAAATTTCCAATTAAATGTAATATAATATACTTTGAAAATAATTACATTCAAAGTCAACATCAGTCACTCGTTTTTAAAATATGCTCTTTCCATCATTCTTTAACTTTTAAACGCGGCGTTTTTCAATTGAAAACTATTTGCGAGATATAAAGCGATTTCAATTAAACTCTGATTAACTTAATCAGCGATCGATATACAATAGAATTGTTTAAATTAAAATTTTACTATTCAAAATTATGTAATTTGATATTTCTAATCTAATTTTATCTTTATACATCAAACAACAAAAGATAAATTATTGTATCTATGTTAATAAATGCAATGGAAACAGGTATTGATTTATAAATTATTTCCGATTGTGCATATTTGTTATATGTAATAATAAATAAGGAGATACTATAATTAAATGAACAAAATTGTTTTATTTGATCTAATAATGAACATTTATCCATAATTATTCAATATAATCAGACAATAACCGATTATGCAGCGTTAAGTTTGACCAGTCTACCTTAAAGCTGATTGGCTGAACGCGAAGGTCGTGAAATTTCTCGCGACCTTGAAGATTCGTTTAATTTCCGAGATAATCGCAATAAAACCACATTTCTGATACCTATATTTGTCTGAGCGCAGCACGTTTCTTCACAGTTTCGATTTCCCCGCCATACGTGACAGTTTCAGTAAAATTCAGTAAAATTAAAACACATAATTCACATCCAAAAATCGAATTTACTATCAAAAATGTATTTTTCAATTTATAACTGCCAATTTATAGTATTTTAATTAAATATATTGGTAAGTACATTAAAGATATAAAACATACTTGATAAATAAGCAACAGAAACATATAATAGTGTAATATGCAATATGTAAATTGATTAAGTTACTCTGATAATATTTGTAATTTAAATGTTCCTAATAACTTAATGCTTTTAAATTAAAAATTTAATAAAAATTAAAATAATTGTGTATTATATATGTAGATGTGATATATTTTTTTTCTTTTAAACTATGAAATTTTTATTTGAAACAATTAAAAAAAATTGATACGTTTAAAACGAGGATTTAAAACAAATTTTGGTGCATATACAATTTGTTATATTTGATACAATTTGTTGTATATATACGGTGTGTCCCGCAAGTTTTTTGCTAAGCGCTTTTTTGCGTAAAGAGTCGAAAAGTTCTCTATCATTTTGCAATTTTTGCAATAGTTAACAAGATATTAATTATTAAAAATCGCTGAATATTGGTTTATAATAATTTCTTATGCAAATACTATCAACTTTACAGAAAAACAGCAATAGATAAAAATTGCTTACTTTTTTCTCGTAAAGTTCTGAGAATAAGTTTCAGAATTTTTTAATACTATATTTTCTCATGTTGGTAAAAATATAGTTGCCAATAATAAGAAATATGATATATATATATATATATATATATATATATATATATATATATGTATGTATATATATATATATATATATATACAATAAATAAGATGGTCTTTGCCAGCTCTAATTTGAAATATGTTATTTGTTTGAATTAACAAATATTTGCTTGACAGCCCGTGACTTACATTTAGTCGAATCAATTAATATTTTTTTGAAATAGCAACTTTTTTTTGTCAGTGAAGTAATATATTGTATCTCCCTTTTGATGCTATACAACTTCAATAAATTTATATTATTTCATATCTCTAAAATAACAAAAATATTCTATATAAATGAATATAGTTAATATATATATATATATATATATATATATATATATATAAGATGAGACAGTAACTATATTCATTTATATAGAATATTTTTGTTATTTTAGAGATATGAAATAATATAAATTTATTGAAGTTGTATAGCATCAAAAGGGAGATACAATATATTACTTCACTGACAAAAAAAAGTTGCTATTTCAAAAAAATATTAATTGATTCGACTAAATGTAAGTCACGGGCTGTCAAGCAAATATTTGTTAATTCAAACAAATAACATATTTCAAATTAGAGATTTCAAGATTTTATTAATCTAAATATATAAATATTTGAACAAAATAATCATTACGAATTAAACGCATTTAGTCAAGTTAATAACTTTTTTCTCAGTGTAGTAATAGTTTTTCTATGGATGGAGGCACTTCGGAGATTTCAAGATCATTTCCACTTTCTTAAATGGAATTGCATAATTTTTTTTACATATGATATATTTCTCTAATTATTCTGCATATAAAGAAAATTTTTGCATATTAAAGTAGTGATATCAAAAAACCAATATGTTTACAAGATATTTTATACTTTATTCTAGCATATACCTTAATATTTTTATATGCAAAATAATGAAATGAATTAATTGATGGAAAGAAAACACATAGTTGCTTATTTAAAAAATTATCCTTTTTGCATACATATTTTTTTTAAAGCAACTATGTGTTTTCTCTTTAGCAATTGGTTCATCTCATTATTGTGTTCATAAAAGTGTTAAGATACGATTATAAAAAAATTAATAATTTACGAGTTATTTAATATTTTATGTTAATATATAACCAGAATAAAATATCTCGTCTATTTTGATTTTTTGATTATTATATCTTAATACTTTTATATGCAGAATAATTAGAGGAATCATATTATGTAAAAAACATCATATAATTTTATTTAAAAAAGTGAAGATGATCTTGAAATCTTCGAAACCCCTCCACTCATAGAAAAACCTCTTGATGCTATATAACTTAAATAAATATATTATTTTATATCTCTAAAAATAGCGGAAATATTTTAAATGAACAGAGTTACTATCCCACCTTATATATACATAGAATATGTATTGTATATATAAAAAATAATTCAGGATATTTAAAAATTAAGATGTAATAAAATAATTCATATAAAAAGAATTAATTCTAAAAAAAAGTTAAATCTAAAAATTAACTTGATCTTGTTTGATCCAAATAATCGTAATTGATTTTAATTAATAATCGATGAGCAATATGTCTTGTTATTAAAAAATTTAGATTAAAATTACATTCTAATTCAAATCTCTTTAGCAAAATTCTTTAATTAACCAGTAATCTTGTTAGGACACTTTAGAAATCGTGCATAATTATATAGGTACCATACTATGGTTGATTGCAGTGTTTAACACTAGCAATTTTCACAGATAGAATATGAGCCCCTCTTTTCTGCCCTCTCCGTCCTGATATTCAAGTAATTACCGCCACGCAAATTCCTGTTCTGCATATTAAAATTTCCAAACCACGCATAATCAAATCACGATTAGGAAATATGGATTAAGAATCCAGTCGCTCATAAAAACATTACTTTTTTTTATTAAAAAATCGATTACTCAAGTCAATCCCCTAATTATGACTTCTTATTTAATAAACCACAAATGTAATATATAGGTATATTGAAAATATTTGAGATCAATTAATAAATTCTTAAGGAAATATGTAAAAAAATAAAAATAAGAATATATTTAATAACATACCAAAATTTTAATTAAAGGTTTTATTAATATACATTTATAATAAATTGTATGAATTTTTATTTTCTACTAAAATAAGTATTAATCGAACAGATAACGAAACTTTGTAATTTTTTTTTAACAATTTTTATAAATTCTAATGAAATTGTAGTTTATTTAGTAAATATTTGATTTAATTTTCAAAAATTGAAAATTAAAATCATTTTTATTTGTAATGAATTTTTTTATATTCACGTTAAGAAAAAATCAACGCTAAATTAATGAATAAACTAATATCAAATATATTTGTAGGTTTCTTGCAATGCAAATGATGAGAGATGTCATAAAATTTACATCTAATATTATAGTGATCGACATTTGCGAGTTTTAGTTTACAATTTCATCGACATTACAATAAAAATGAAGCTTGTTTCTTTCATACTTATGCTTACTGTAGTATTACTGGAAGCAAAACTAAACTTCTGGGGAGATTCAGTATTCTCTCGAAAAACAGTATTTAATTATTTATTTTCTAAGAATTACGATACGGTAGTAAGAGTGAGAAAGCCAGAAGAAGTCATAACTACAGTGAACAATGTAACTACATTGGATTTTGTAAGTGCAAGATCGTCTTTTGTCGTGAAATACACTCAAAAAAATAATATCGCAAAAAATAAACCATTAGAATTTTAATTATTAAAATGAAATGAACTTTGTATATAAAAAAACAATTTGTTGTATTAGCGAATAATAAAGTAATAGCAATACAATTATCGAGGTACTTTTGTTCAACAATCAAAAATTTTAATAAAACATTATTTATGAAATAAGAAACATCTCAATTGCAAATTATAAATTATAGAACGCTTTGAAAAGATTTCGAGATTGTTACAGAATTAATTATATTCACTAAAAACTGAATAAAAAAGTAAATGTAAAACATTGAAATATTAATTACTTAAAAAATTAATTTCTATGACAGAAAGTATTTTTATTTTAATAATGCAGATTAATTGCATGCAATTTTGTACAAAATATGATCACCTTTGTATTAATAAATATTTTTTTATGTTACGTAAAATATTGTATGTAAATATTACAAAAGACTATTGAAAAGTCTTGAATCATTCTTTAATATTTAATATGTCTACACAGATTGGTTTAGTAGAGAAAAACGGTTACTCCGCCGAGGAACATTATGTTATAACAGAAGATGGTTATATCTTGATACTACATAGAATATTGAAAAATCCTTTGTTTAAAGGTCAAGGAAGTAGAAAAGTTATATTTCTTCAACATGGTATACTGTCCACATCTGATACCTGGGTATTAATCGGTGCTGGCAAAGACCTTGGTGAGTGATCGTTAATATATTATATACTATCATTATTACATAATAATCGAATGATGCCCATTTTTTTAACATAGTTTAATTTTAATCTTGGTTCAACTAACTCTTATCTTTTTCTAGTTCTAAGAATTTTTTAGTTCTAAGAACTTTTTATTTTCTATTCATCCATAGTGTGTCTGTATAAAATCTTTTGCAAAATATGAAAAAATTCTATTGTCATGGATACGATAAATGGAATCATTATAAATATATATATATATTATATAGATTGATGTAAAAATTAAAAGAATTACAAATATCACTAACAGCAAAACCATGGAATTTTTAATTTGAAATCGCATTTCTGGATATATGATATGGAATAACTACATGTACATTCACACACACATACACACACGTGCGCGCGCTCAGACGAGTATCTAGTTGAAAAATTGATGATTAATCGATATGTTCACTTTGACTCTAAAAGCTTATAATGGGAACAGTAGGACAACACAGTAGTGAGTTTTGGCGAATATTTATTTTAACAAATTAGATCAAGAATAAGAGAGAAACTAGTAGTAATAATTAAAGTTCAAAAAGTAAAAAATTTAGCAAATTCGATTAGATTAATTCTATTTGAGATATCTTATTATATTATCTAATAAAATTTAACTATGTTTTATTTTAAATTAAAAAAATTAAAAGCATTTGTTATATCTTAACATTTCAATTTTATTATTTAAAAGCATTTGTTATATCTTAACAAAGCAGCAATAATGAAATTATTTAAATCGTCTAACTATTTTCTAATAAAATTTGTCATATCATAAAATTTATTATTACATGCTTAATAATAGTATATTTATTACATTGACAAGAGACTTTATAAGACAATCCTATATTCTCTTTTTCTTAATCTAGATAACCATTTTGAAGAAACTTTTGTTAGGACAACAAAATATTGTAGATAATATCTTATACATTGAAAGAACAGAAAATATTCTAGATTAAATAAAAAATGTCTAATAGAACATTATCATGATAATATATGTTTTTACAAAGAGGAAAGCAATTATTATTTTTGTTAGCAATTTGATTATTAATAATAATCTGATGATATCAAGAGAACTAATTATGTACCATTATCTTGTATTCCAGCATTTTTATTGGCTGATAAAGGATATGATGTATGGCTTGGGAATTTTAGGGGAAATGCTTATTGCCGATCACATATAAAATTATCTCCACAAAATAAGGAATTTTGGCAATTTAGGTAAAACTTTATTTTGTAATTATCAAGTTTTTAAATTTAATTCGATCGATTTTTTCTTAATAAAAATATTAAAACATATAATGCATTTTTGCACATTTTATATACCTTTATATTTTTTATTAAGAAAACATTGATTTTAATTATTATAAAAATTTTATAAGAAATCTGCTTTAAATTAATTAACATAAGACAAATGTACATAAGGATAAAAATGATTAAAATAACAAAAAGTCGAAATATTTTTTAAAAATATTTTATTTAATTCAAACTAGAGAGATTTCTTTTAAAATTTTTAATTAAAATAAATTATTTTAATTAAAAATTTTAATTAAAAAAGATCAAGACTCTCGTAATATTGTGAATGAGTATGTTACATGTTTTAAATTTCTCATTAAGAAAAACTTAATTTTAATTATAATGTTAAAAAATTTATAATAAATATTTAGTGCTAAAATTAAAATATAATATAATAAAAGAGAAAAAAAATGTAATTTCATTGTTCAGTTATCACGAAATGGCAACAAGAGATCTACCAGCTATGATCGATTATGTACTTAATTATACAAAACAAAAAACTATATATTACATCGGTCATTCGATGGGAACTACCGTTTTATTTACTTTACTATCCATGAAACCCGAATACAATGCAAAAATAAAACTGGGAATCTGCCTTGCCCCGATCGCCATATGGAAAGAAATAGCTCCTGTTATAGAACATATTATTAGGAAAACGCCAAAGATTCTGGTAAAGAGATATCAAAATCATATTTTAAGAAAAATAAAGATATGTTTCATATAAGTTATATATATTAATTTTATCCTAATAATTAGGAGAATAATTAGTATTAACAATATTTATTTTATTACTATATTTATTATTATTGTAATAAATAATTGATTATACGATATTATATTATACAAGTTTTTTTTACCTCAAAAGTTTTTTTTAGTAAATAATATTCTTTTATGAAATTTTTTTGTAAATATTGTAGATAATTCTGTATTATTAAAAAGAGTTTTAAATATTCAATAAAGTAATCATATTGACTATACAAATAATTGATTGAAATAACTGGTTTGACACGATATTTAAAAGTTACTTTGTGTAAAACTTGTGTAGAAATGAGATAAATCGTTTTTTAAAAAGTCGCTCCAGAAATATTTCAAACTTCAATCAGCTGTATTATATCCCGTATAGTTTCAAATTCTATCCTGGTGAAATTTCGCTGAGATTATTCTACGTTTTGGAATATTTTACCGAAATTGCTGAAAATTTACTAAAATTTCACTGAAAGTAAATTTTTCAACTAACATATCTGAAAAATCATTGAAATTGAACTGAAATTACTTTGAAATTTTATTGAAATTTTGCTAAAAATGAATTTTTCATTTAAAAATCGCTGAAATTAAACTGAAATTTTTCTGATATGCTAAAATTTCGCCGAAAAATGTTCCAAAACGTGCGTTCCAAAATGTTCCAAAATGTTCCAAAATATTAGGTGTTGGAATTAATTCGTAGCGTTTTTTAATGAAAGAATGTTATTTATTTCACATGAGCATTAAAAAATACATTAATGAAAGTACTTCCCATCACTTGTAAAACGCTACGAATTAATTCAAACACCTAATAATTTCAGCGAAATTCAGTGAATTAGAGCACGTTTACATTTTTTTATATTTACGTTTATTTTTGTTTATTAGGAATTTTTTGAGTCTAATGAAATATATGAGTTAGCCTCCTTATCATCAACGAATATTAGAATTGGAAGAACATTGTGTACAGATAAAGCAATTACTCAGGCTGCCTGCATTGCAACAATATTTTTATTCTCTGGATCCGATCCAGCGCAACTTAATACTGTATATTATATATCTTTAACTTAGCACGATTTTGTTGATTGTAACATTGCTGTTACAGCTTTTAATAAAAATTATAAAATCAAATGTTTATACTCTAATATACAACAAATCAAAATTATTTTTAATTAAGCCATTCATTGCAGACGACATTACCGGAAATATTGTCACATTATCCGGCCGGCCTTTCTTTGCAAACAATGCATCATTTTTATCAAAATATCATTAATGGTGAGTATTCCTCTTTCCTTTAAACATATAATATTGTATTAGGTGTTGGAATTAATTCGTAGCGTTTTTTAATGAAAGAATGTTATTTATTTCACATGAGCATTAAAAAATACATTAATGAAAGTACTTCCCATCACTTGTAAAACGCTACGAACACCTAATAATATAAACTATATTAATTATAAAGGAAGAAATTAATTTAATTGCTTTAAAACGTAATTAAAATGTTACGAGAGTTTTTATTTTTGTATTACTTTTATTAATAATATAAGTAAAAATTCAAGTAGTAATTCTTTTAAGCATGTTGCTCACGATTACATAATATTTTATGTTTATTTAAAAAAATTAAAATTTGAAATACTCTTCGATTTTATATTTATATATATTTAAATAATTAATATTGATTGTTGCAGAGAAATTTCAAGCCTTCGACAACGGATATTTCGACAATTACAAGAAATATGGACAAATGATGCCCATAATATACGATTTAAAAAAAGTTACTGCGCCCTTGGCTTTATATTATTCCGTTAACGATTTGCTTGCTCCAAAATCGGTAAAGATATTTTTATCATTTTTATGTAAGATATATTTTTATGGGCACAACCAAGGGAAATAATTTTTTATAAAAAATTATACATTTTAAATTCAGATTTGAGATTTTGTAAAAATTAAGTATGTTTGAAATCAATTACAACAGAGAGATTACATCTTCCTTTTTTTACTTTCATTTTTCCCTCTCCTTTTTTTCTCTTCCTCTTTTCTATTTTTCTTATTCCTTTCTCATTCTTTGAGCTAACATTATTATTTATATTGTGTATATGAAAATAGTATTTAAGAAGCAATTGTTTATATTTCTTAAATTATTATTAATTATTACTAATTTAATATTGTTCGTTATAACCATATTGATTATATTACAAATTTTATCGTTTTCCATATTTTTGTTCTTAGAATGTCCTCGAGATATACAAGCAGCTGCCGAATGTTATCCTGCTGGAGGAAAATCCATATAAATTATTCAACCATTTAGATTTTTTATGGGCCATCGATGGTAAAACTCTAATATATGACCGTTTAATAAAATTACTTCAGGAGTTTGACAATCAGGAACGAACAATTAATGATGAATGATTTATCTATTTCTAATCTATTTCTAATCTATTATATATTTTCTTGTTAAAAATATTTATTTATATATGTTTTTTTATTATATAACATTTATATATATATTTTTTTATTATATATTGAATATACTTTTGATAGAAAAAATTTACTGGTCAGAAAACGCTTCAAA